TGGATTACCTTTGTGAAGATCTTTTCGAGATGCTAGTTTTAGGTCTGGGCCAGATGAACGTGGGGTTTTTTTTTTTGGCTCTTCCTGTATGTTCTGAGTGCCCTGTTTGAAGGTGAACCTCTAATCCAGTCTCAAGTTTGATTTAGTGTCTAGCATGTTTTCATCCAACACTGCCCTGCATTTAGCTGCATCTGTCATCACTCAGACCTGCTACCCTGTTCTTGCTAATGGAAAGCCTCACCACAGTATGATGCTGCATCCAAGTTTCATGCCAGATATTGTGTTCTGTACCATGGTCAATGTTAGATTTCTGGCACACACGGCATTTCCATATAGAGTAAAAGTTACATTCTAGTCTGAGCAGAGACCTTCTTCTTCATGCCTTTTCTATGTTCCCTGAATGGTGTAATTCTTTTCTTCCAAACATCGTGTTATTCCTCCCAGGTCCCCTTAAGGCCAGATTTGTGTAGTGCAGTCCTAATTGTGGTTGAGTGTACTGACTCTCCAGCTCCTCTAGTTACTATGCATGGGCCTCTTGGCTGTTTCTAGTATTGCTCTCTTTGGGTAGCCTGTCTTGGTAAGCAGCCCAATATGTCTTGGTAAGTTTGCAATTCTCCAGTTTTGGATGGTGGATTGAACATTCAGATGTTCAAAGTTTGGGACATGCTCTGTTTTATAACCTAATTTTGCTTTAAATTTCCCCCAATTCTGTCCCCATCCTACTTGATGTGTTGCATGGTATTCTTAGTCTTTACTGTTTAATGTCTAATATACCTCATCAATGTCACTGAGATTGTATTGCACTCAGGTAGATCACTACCTATTTGCAAAATTACAAAAAAAAAAAAAAACATTGAATCATTGAATCATTTTTTGAATTCTCTTCCATTATGACAAAATTACTACAAACTTTCAGAAGATACCATCTTGTACATTATGCGCACCTTAAAAAACAGTATTTATGAGAATGATGAGTAATTTACTCCCATGTAGAAAAACATGGGCCGGTATTCTACAAAATGCAGGCATAATACCTGGTTTAAATATGGGTGAACTGCGTCAAAGCCGAGTGACAAGGCTTCCTTGGTAGAGCTATTCTAGGAGTATATCTGGTTTCAGATTCACAAGCAAAGTCAGGTTTGCAAATATTTTGCACTCGCAAACTGCTCTGTGCATGTACCCCCGTCTATTTTAGTTTGCATCCAACTGATAACATCACTGAAATTCTCACTGGCTGTGCACTTCACTGCAACATGCCAATTCACGGGAGTGTCACCTTGTTAAGGGGAGAAGAATATAGGGTTTCTAGACAGAGTAGTTGTAGTGAATTGTCATTTCTCCTTTTGCTGTTGTTGCTTTGTTGTATTTTTATTTTTTTATTTTATCTTATTTTTTTAAGGATTTCCTCCACAACCTTCTTCCTCTTCTCTTACTCTGTCCAGTATTGATGCACAATCTCTTCACTGCAAAAAAGAAAAAAAAAACATCAAAATTTTTTCTGGTTTTCTGAGGAAAATTAGAGCAGAGCGTAACATCTGGCTCTGGGACAGGATGAAGTTTTTTGTGGTGTCAGAACTGTCGTCATCAAGGTGCATGCGGTTGAAGAGTCTGCAGAAGTTGATCAGTCGATTCACGAGGCAACTCTCCTGGTTTAAAGTGTTTCGGAGGAAAAGGAAATACAGTTACCGCTCAGTGATGTTTGTGTGAGAGGGTAGGGTGATGCCAGCCGCAGATTAGTCATCTTGTGGTAACAAGCTTTCAGAAGCTTCAAAGCAGCTACGTTTGGAATTAAGGTAGATGTTCTCAGAAGTGTTTTTCGCACAACTCCTTTATCTTATGTTGTTTTAGTGGACCATGAGCAAAACTTACTTGTGATGATTTTTTTTTCTTTGTGTTGCACATAACATCCTGACAAACAAAGTATTTTGCTGTTAAAAGCTGAGATTCAACATAATGCCACTGGAAATTATGTCACGCTATTCTTCAATTACAATGTATTGGAGCTGCATATACACACAGAATGTCAGGTGAACTTTACCTTGCAGAAAATGTTTATACCTCATGAACATTTTGCCTGGTTACAGCCACAAATTTTAGTATTTCAATTAAATGCTATGTGACGCTTTGTGGAAACATGGAATAACGTGATCAGGTTGCCCAAATGCAAAACAATTCAAAATAGAAGGCTAACACTGCACCACGGTGGTGGCAGTATTGTGCTGCGGGGGTGTTTTTCTTCATCTCCTTTGATTTTGTGTGTGTGGTAACTAAATATGTGTCTGTCTGTGCTGTAAAAAAAAAACCTGCCTTGACTTGCATTGCACTCGAAAGTGGCATTGGCAAAGAACCTGAAAGGAGCAGATTGGAAAGTGGATGGAACTAAATGTTAGGTAAGTCTGGAAGAAAACTTGTTAGAGGTAAAGAAAGACTTGAGGCTGGAACGGAGGTTCACCTTGATGAAAAACAGCAATCCGAGACACACAGTTGGTACTCCACTAAAATGGTTTGAAAATCAAATCCTATAGCTAAATCCAACTGAGAATCCTTACACTAATGTTCAGAGATACTCTCCATCCAATCTGCCTGAGCTTGAGCATGTTTTTTAATAATAAACTAAAGTGTCAACTCCTAGATATGCAAAGCAGACATAGACATTCCCTGGAATTGCATCAAAATTTGGCAAATGAATTTAAAGCATATTTTTCCCAGCTCTTAATCCGGAAAAAGATATTACTTTTCATTAACTGCGCTATTATGTACTACTTAGTGTTCCTCTGTTGCATAGAATCAAAGTAAAACACATTATGTTTGTGTTCGTAAAGAGATTATGTGGAAACCCTTAAGGAGCATGATTGTGTTTGTATACATTAGAGAAACCAGTTCATTAAAACTCTAAAGGAAACACATCAGACCTAACCTCATGTAACACTGCACAGGGGATGTTTCAACAGCGCTGATGGATGTTGTTTTGGAGCTATTGTTCCACAGGTCAGTGCGGAGGTCTAGCTTCTCTTGTGATCCTGTTAAGTTGTGAAAAAGAACAGCAATGAGATAGATCACCTTTGTGCCCCGGGCTGGATTTGTTTCAGGCATTCTCTGCAGGTTTCATACGAGGCCATTCAAGGCTCGGAGTCTGTGAAAGGCAGCCTGCTTTACGCCTCCTCCTTAACCTTGAACATCAGTGCAGAACTACAGGGGCAGGGTTGGGCTTGACTACTGAGGTGAGCATTGAGCCATATGATGTGTGAATTATTACTTAATGCAACCATATTTTGATTCTGCGGTTGTAATATCTGAAAATTGGGTAATAATGGGCCACACACACAAAGTCCATATATTGAGCTGTGCACGCAGATGATATTCGTTCAGCGCTGATGTAAACACTGCAAAAAGAGACTAAGCAGACAACTACCGCAGAGAACGTGTTAGACATTAGTCTAGACTGTAGGCAAGATCCTTCCCGTCATTGTTAGTTGGCATTGAGGGGTTGCAAAACAGGAAATTATTGCTGCGTAAACTACACACACACACACAGCAATGAAAATTAGAAAGTAAAACATGCCTTAGAGCATAAAAGTATGCTGACACAAATAAATGAGATTATAATAAACGACTTACAGTAATTAGTTTAAACAAAGCATCAGCACCTGGTTATATCTTGTTTCACCAAAGGAAGGTGTGATTCTTATTCTTATCAGAGCACATTGTTCAAGTTGTCTTATTTTATTGACAAAGACCTTCTATGTCGTCGTAGTAGACGATCTAACTACTGTAAATAGTAATTTTCTGCATTCAGAAATAAAATGTTGTCCTGAGCAGTCTCTTGCGCCATCTAGTGGTTTATCGGATTATCTTTTTCTCATTTTTGTTCCAGTGTTTGCTTTTTACTCTTGCCATAGCAAATCAGTTTTCTGCTGACTTTTTTTTAATTATTTGATTAAGTTGTATTGTATTTGAATTAATCTTTGGTTTTCATTTGTTTATTTACTGTATTTTTTTTATTCAGTTTTTATAACCATGCAACTCACAACAAACAAACATTCTTGCTGGCACAGTTTTTGTGGTTCTTGTTTAATAAAATAAAATGTAACTTGTAAATTTGTCCTTCATGTAAAGTCATATTTTGAACATTTCTGACCTTTGCGTCCTTATACATGTCCCAGCTTACTTTCTTGCTGCTTTGACAATAAAACCTATTTATTCTCATTGAGACAGTGGGGCAGCAATGAAAGACATTCCTAAAATAATAATAATAATAATAATAATAATAATAATAATAATAATAATAATAATAATAATAATAATAATAATAATATCTATCTTTTCTTTAAAAAGCATAAAAATTGAGCAACACAGAGGATCGTTTAAACTCGGGTCTTCTCGGCTCCTCTTGGTGATCACGTGATTCTACGTCACAGCTGTCCCTGCCTGTTTCTTGTTGGAGGTGTCATTAAAACAGTTCCCTCTTGTTGAAATATTGTTTGCTTGAATAAATAAGCAGGCATGGAAATCGGAACTGAAATAAGCAAGAAAATAAGAGTGAGTAACTGTGGACATTGCATCTGAACAGTCCGCCATGTTTATAGAAATAAAACCGAGCCGTTGCTAGCTCGTTAGCTTGTTAGCTTCAACGTGTCTAGAAATATATATGTATATTTGCGCAGTGTTGGTCGTGTGGCCCTCTGTTTGCAATTCAGTGCAGTATTTTTGAGTTGTTTCTTTTTTGCTTTGCTTATTTGTAAATCCCTGACTATTTCTCTGTTGTTTTACCATTTGAAAATGGAATCTGGGTAGCTAATATGCTATTCATACTTTACGTTGCTAACGCTATTTGATCTGTGTGTTCGTTTTCTTCCAGGCTGCTATAAAAAGCAAGCTCCAGGAGCTCGGCGCTTATATTGGTAAGTTCACAAAACAAGCAAAATGCACGGCACACAAGCTGTTGGAAATGTTGAACATTTCTTTTATGTTTCTTTTCCTCCTGCAGATGAAGAGCTTCCTGACTATATTATGGTGATGGTGGCAAACAAGAAAACCTCCCAGCAGATGACTGAAGACCTCTCTTTGTTCCTGGGAAACAACACAATTAAGTTTACCACGTGGTATGTTTAAAATGGAGTTCTTGCTTTCGGAGTTCACTCTGTTTCTTTCTGTCATAACATTAAATTACCTTCTCTAGGCTCCATGGTGTCCTGGAGAAACTAAGATCGGTCGCCGGAGGTGAGAAACTTCTGCTGAAGTAGTTGGGTTTTTTCTGTATTTTGCTAACCATGATGTGATGTTTTATCACTTGTCTGATTCTTTGTTTTTTATTTCTTTAGAGCCACCAACTCTAAGGCATCTGCAGTCTGACTCTGTCACCGTGTATGGGAAGCCATCTATTGATGAAAATGGCAGAGCAGAAGACTTGAAGCTGCTGGCAGTGTCCAGCTCGCGGAGCGATAGGATGGACGTTCCTGTGTCTAGTTCTGCTTACGACAGCAGGTACCTGGAATGCTTTGATATACATAATTTGTCTACAAATAGTTTTTTTCTAAGCAATATAATACTGATGCTTGTTTGTTATCAGGAAAGGGCTGCTGGGGAAAGGTTTCTCACGATATACCTCAACTATTAAGCCTCACTCCGAGCCACTCCCCTCAGAAGCCATTATCGATATCAAGCCTGAGATGGACGATGATCTAATTGCGGGAGAAACTGTAGAAATGGGAAACGGTCGCACCCGCAATGCTGGTCGACCGACCGTTGAGATCTACAGACCTGGTCAGAGCAAGTTTACTTCTATGAGATCTTTGGAGATGTGCCGGCCTCCTGAGGGATCCTCAAGCATGAGGCAGCAGGATGGCAGAAGCAGCAAAGCATCCAGAACTGGGCTGAGCAAGGTACAGAGAGGTTTTTCTATTACGATGATTTTCAAAAGGGTTTAAATTCTTTGTTTTGCTTCAAATTTATTAGAATTTCTTGTTTATTTTTTATTTCTTCAGATCATTTAAATATTTTAATAGGTTTTAGCTTTTAAGTTTCTTTTTTTTTTTTTGCTAATGTTTGACCCATGTTTTTGTGCTTGACCATATTTATTCTCTTACATAAGTTTACACTGACTGATAAATAACCTAAGGATGACAAAAGCCAAAGGATGAGCTCACAATGTCTTGCATAAGAGACAATTTTATAAATTTTCTTCATACTTGGTCCTTGCTTTTTGTAAAAGAAAAAAAAGTTTTATTTACCATTGTTTACCGTTAATCTAACATTAAAGTGGCTCTTGAGGGGCTATTTGCTGAGAAGTTTGGCTCTAAAGGAAGATGTTTGTGTTCACATCGAGGTCTTTCTGGATTCTTTAGGATATGACTTTCAGATATTGTTGATCTTCTCTAGTCGCTGTTGTTGGCCTTCAACATTGACATGTTTTTCTTCAAATACTTCAGAAACAAACTGCTCTGCATGCAAATATATTTTATTATATTGAATCAGCCTGTGTGTGCTGTAGTGGAGATGTTTTAGTTTTGTGTCTCCAATGATGATTTGAGATGTTTTCAAAAACTGAGTTTTGTTCAATGTTAACTTGGTCAGAAAAACTGCTATAATGTCTTAACAATATGTTACTTAAATCACACATTTCTTTAATATTTGTGTATTAAGAAGTAGCTATGCTGTCTTCAATAAACTCTTGCTCTTTCTGACAGCCATAATGTGGAGAAGTTAGCTTTAATTGCAGGGTAACATTAGCATATCTGCTGTCTATTAGGATATGACATGCTAAAAAGCTTCTAACACAATCTTGGAAAATACAAAAATTTAATTTCACTATTTTCCAGGTCTGGATAAGTGACCTAGAAAATAAGAGTTTAGAAATACAGTCATCTCCAGACTTAATTTTTAATTTCTTCCAATTAAATATTTGAAATTCCCCAAATAGTTGGAATCAATGCCGTCATTTACCACAATGAGTCTTGTATTGATCAGGGGTCTGCGATTCTGGTCCTTACGGGCCACTGTACCAATTCATCATTTCTGGATCAAATATGAATGATTAAACTTGATATACATTTCCAAATTTGTGGGGGTTTTTTCTATTGCCATACATTACAATTACATTTTAAACTGTCTCAATAAAAACCCCAGAAAAATATTGGGACAACCTCATGCTGTTGTATCATTTGTGCCTAATTGTACTTTCCTTAGATCCAACAAAGAAAAGTTGGGTCTGACAACAATAAATGACCCTCTTCTCACATTTAAGTTCTTTATTTTTATATTTATTGTAAAATAACTAAAGAAAGCAAGGATGAAACCTTCATTTCTTTCTTTTGTTTTGCCTGTGGTGTTCAGCTGCTGGGTGGATGTGTCTGACCAGCATCTTGTTGTGTCCTTAATGATGCCGCCGTTCCTCCTTCGTACAGCAAGAAGAGATGTCCCGAAAAAGAAAAGCTCCCGTCGCGAGTTCTGTTGTTCGAGTGAACCGAGCCGATGATGAAGACAGCGATGATGCAGAAGACGAAGACGACGACGACCCGAGTTTTGGCAGCCGAAGCCTCTCCAGCAGAGTCTCCCTCCCCTCCAAACCAGAACGAAAGTCAGTCTTGCCATCTCTTAATGTCATTTAAAATTTTAATCTCTTTATTTTAGGAAGGAAAAAAGCACGGCTAAGCATTGTGCTTTGTTAAATATTCTAAGATATCCCAGCATGTGTGTGTGAAGCTTCTATCATCTGCATTCTTTTACTGGTTGTAACTTTTTTTTTTTTTTTTTGGTGGGTGTTTAACTGTTTTAGACCGACTCTCCCACCAGCCAAGCAAGCCAACAGGAATCTGATACTGAAGGCCATCTCTGAGGCTCAGGACTCGATCACCAAAACTACGTCCTATCCCCTGAGTACGTTCCCATCAGCCACGCATTGAAAAAGGAAACACACTGTACAAGTCTTCCATTATCATTAGCTATACAAACTAGTTACTAATTATTTGCAACATTGTTTAGAAAGTTGGGGGTTGTTGTAGTCTAAATCATTCTTACTTCAAAGCAACAATTTCAAAAGCGAACCCGAACCTCCCCCTGCAGTTCCACAGAGGCAGACTGTTCCTGTGGCGCCTCGTACGCGCTTGGCCAGCAGCGAAGAGATGACCGCAGCCATCCAACTGATGCAAAACCTGCACAGCCTGGCGCCGAGGGCGGAGGCATACGCTGCCGCCGACCAGCCCGCCTCCAGAACAACAAGTATGCAGAAACCTAACAGCTGCTCATCTGTGTCGCTGACTTAAGTCATTCATTTCTGATGTTTCGTTCTTCTAACTGTAGCAAAGTCATTAGCTTCACGTCTTCAGTTGGACGGCAGCGATGCAAGACGGCAGAGTGAATATGGTAGGTGATGTTAGCCTCTGTTTGATTTGTTTAAGCTCTTAGAGAAGACTAACGTTCAACTCTTTTGTCTACAGTTTTCAGACCAAACATGTAAAGCTCTGAATATAGTTTTTAGTCATGCTGATAAAAAATATTTTATTAAAACAGTGTGGATGAAAATATCCTAGCTTACAAAGTATTGGTTATTGTAAAATCATGATTATTGCAAATGTCTAAAAAATAAAGCTTGCTTCAAAATGCAAAATTTCTAAAAAGTTGTATTTTGTTTTAAATAAAGTGGGAACAATAGATGAAATGTGAACCCACCCCCAAAGTTTATTTCCGTGTTTGCTTTTGAAGCAGGCGCCGAAGCCCCTGCTGGCTGTGAGCCGAAGACCTCCGATACGCGCTCCTTCATAGTGAGTCGGCCGGTCATAGAGGAAGCATCTGCCCAAAGTCAGCAACAAGTCCAGCCCCCAGCTTTGCCCCGCACCGTCCAAGCCAGGTATGCACACAGAACAAACTCGTTATGAGATGAAAGCATGAAAAAGTTCAAGAATTGTGAATATTAAATGTTTCTCTTTGGTTCATGTGCATATTTGTGCTGCCTCTGATGACTCTGCTTGCTTTCTGTGGTCACACTTACAGAGAGGGAGTTGACACCTCGAGTCCAAAGTTCATCGTGACATTAGACGGAGTACCGAGCCCGCTGGGTAACCTTACAGACGGAGACATGGAGCTGGATGATGTGAGACCCCTCTCAAAGGTTACAGAGGCAGCCGGCCACGTCTACAGAGAGCCTAAAGTCAGCGTCCTGGACAGGTTGCAGGGAGTGGTCACATCATCAGAAGGTGTGGGGTCTCTGCAGTTATTTTATTTAATGCTCTCGCGGGTAAAAACCTGATTGACACATGTGACACTTTCTTTACTTCACTCACTTACAGATGGGAGGATGGACGTGGACATGGCCGAGGAAGATGACGCTCCGATGAAGAAGCAGAAACTTATGGAGCGCTGCAAGTTTTGGCCCGTCTGCAAAAGTGGAGATGAGTGTATGTACCATCACCCGACGGCACAGTGCAAGTGAGTGGCTTTAATAGGAAAAGATTAAATTACAAAGGCATTGAAGGTACATTGAGGGCTGATTGAATGTTGTGGGGGTTTTTTTGTTTCTTTTTTTTTCAGGACTTTTCCAAATTGCAAGTTTGGGGATAAATGCCTGTTTGTGCATCCTAACTGTAAATATGACGCTCGCTGCACAAAGCCAGAGTGTCCCTTCACTCACGTCAGCCGCAGAGGCACTGTCGCTCCTCCACTCAGACCAAGTACGTTTTCATTATCCTTATAGTTAAACAAATAATGCCAATAACTTAGCGTGAAGACATTTTTTTTGTTTGAACATGTAATAGCCAGTGAGATTCGAAGAACGTCTGATCTTTAAGTTAAGATTTGAACGTTGTAATTAAAATGCAACATTCAAATTCAGTTTACAATTTAACGCTACTTGATAAAAAGTTATTCCAGGAAACCAAGCCTGCTGCATCCTGCATCTTGAGCAACTGTGTGACAGTAGAGCAGAGGAACTTTTCCCTAGAACCTCCACCAGAACCAGCTGTGGTGGAGATTTGTAAACAATCTGCAAGGTTAACCAAATCTAATTTCTGATATTAAAAAGAATAAAAGCCACAGCTGTAGGTGCTTAAGCATAAAAACGTGCCTTTAATTGTCCTAACAAACTTACTGCTACTTATTGTTTGTAACTTGTTTTTACAGTTGTGCAGCAAAGTTCGAGTGCCACTGTTTGTCGCTTCTTCCCAGAATGCAAGAAGGTGGATTGTCCATTTTATCATCCAAAGGTAGCAGCACAGCAGAGACCATTAACCACATTGTCAACTCTTTTGCATTTGAACTGAGCAGCTCTAACTTGTCTCTGTTCCACTGCAGCCCTGTCGCTTTGCGACTCAGTGCAAACGGGCGGGATGCACTTTCTACCATCCAACTACAGCTGTGCCTCCGAGACACGCCCTGAAGTGGACAAAAGACAGAGCAGGTGAACCATAAAGGAGCGTCTCAAAATATTTTCTCACATAAATTAGAATGTTTTTATCCTTTGACAAACCGATTCTCTTCAACCAAACTAGTGAGATTAATCTCATTTTGCACGCATCTCTCGTTTTCACCTGAAACAGTTCTGCCTATCTTGATGAGTTTCAGTAACGTTGCCATGTGTATAATTATTATGGAGTTAATTTTATGTAAATTTGCTGCTTGCACTAAAAATACTTTTTCTTTTCCAGCTAATTAAGCTGACAGAGTCTGATGGTCAACTATCAAGCTGTGGAAGATGATGTTCTTCTTCTTGTGTTTCTGGAACATCATCAATAAATGTAACCATTAATTATGTTCTTTTATTGTTTTGACTGATTTTTATGAAATGTTTTGTAAGACGAAAAGCGAGTTTCTGCACATGTGTTCCAGATATTAAAGACTCAACATTGTTTCTATTTATGTCATTTCTTGTTTTGTTTTTTTAAACAGGCAGCTTTGAAGGTTCAGTATAAACCTCTTTATGAATCAAGTGAGAAAATATACTTCCTTTTAGATTTTGATCTCTTCCTGAGGACAAGATTATTTACATCAGCTCCTGACATGATATTCAAGTTTATAATAGAGCAAGGCTGTTATTTGCTCTTTTGCTGAAACACCACCAGTCAAACGTGTCTTGGTGTAAATACTAAAAGCTGCACATATTCTGTGAAATTATAGTTTTACTAATCTAAAGAAACAAACACAAAAACCTGCCTTTAAGGACCAAATTTATTTTTCTGCATCTAGATGTCAGAATAAACAGAATTGTTATTGTACTGGCAAAACTAACATTCTTTAATTATTGTCTCTTTTTTTTTTTAGATTATTTTGCATGTTTCTATTCCCTGTTTTGTTCTTGCCCTTATACATTTCTGCCACATCATGGAAATGGTGTGAAAAAAAATCCACCAATTACCATAAGAGCTGGATCCCCATATCTGTTTAATTTACTCATTTTATTATTTTCAAAGATAAAGCAGAAATAATTGGTTTGTATTCCCTTTACTTCCAGGTTCTATAAAATGTACAACTAAGAGGGAAAGCATTAATGAGTGCAAAATTTCAGTCCTCCATAAAAATAAACTTCAAAAAGGGACATTCTTTTTAGTGTTTTAAAATCAAAATGTCATTTTCGTTAACTGGTCAGAGCAGCTGCTTGTCGCCGGGTGAGGTGGCTCTCACCTGTAATCCAAGCTACCTGGAGGCTGAGGCTGGAGGATTGCTTGAGTTCAGGAGCTCTGAGCTGCAGTGGACTATGTTGAGCGGGGGTCCACACTAAGTTCAGTATAGATATGGTGTTCCTGGGGGAGCCTTGGACCACCAGGTCTTCTAAGGAGGGGTGAACCGGCCCAGGTCGGGAACGGAGCAGGTCAAATCCCCCATACTGCTCAGTAGTGGGATCGCCCCTGTGAACAGATGCTGCTGTTCAGCCTGAGCAACACAGTGAGACCCAGTCTTTTTATAGTCAGCGATACACTACTGTCACACCAATACTTCTATTTTTGTATCTTAAACCTGTTTAAACAATTATTTTAGCTTTGTGTTTCAACAAAAACCATTAAAAAGCAGCTCAGATTCTTGTCCAACACCACCTCCTTCTGGAGGACATCTTATACTACACCATAACCTCTTACACTGCAGTTGGAGAAATGGACAGTATTTTTATTCCAAAATGAGGATGTTACAACTGGCGCATCCTCTGATGTACTCTACCCATTAGTAAAAGTCAATGCAACTCACTGCCTTGAGAAGTCCCTTATTTAAAAAAAGTTTGGTTATTTTCTTACAAGCAAACCCTAAGCTGTAGACATTCTTCAAAATTGCAATTTTAAATAGAGCGCCCACTTATGCAAGCAACTTGAAGAGACAGTGAAAAATCCTTGGAAGTCAGAGTTAAATACTTTTCATTTTCTGTTTAGCAGCTTATACTGAATCAACAATATCTAAAACTACTTTAGCTCTTTCGTTTTTATTAAGATAAGTAATAGACACAAAACAGCTTAAGTTAAATTTATTTCGCAGCAACACAAATTAAAGCTCGTGATCCTCAGGGTGGTACAGTTCACTCATCAGTCGGTAGATGTATGATGGTGCGTGACCTCCAATGTTGGAGATGAACAGTGTGATGAGTTCTGGAGGAACGTAGTCAAACACCGGGCAGTGCACGTTGACCTTAGAGAGGATCTCACCTGAAACGTATACAATTAGCATGTTAACATTGTATTCTACCAAAAATAAATGCTTAACTTGAAAAGTAAATCAGTGAGGGTGTACCTTCAGTGAAATGGAGGACTTCATGTGGAGAGACAAATTTATGGAAAGTGTCCTCCTCGTTTGGGAACTAAGGAGAGAAAATATTTCTTTCATTATTCGTGTTTGAAAGATTTTTCTTATTGCTTGTCAACCAGTATTTTCCTACCTGCGGCGATAGCTTGAACATGGGGGCACAGACAATTAGAGGCGTCGAATGATGCTTGGCTGCTAAGGCGAGAGTGTGCGTCCCGTTCACAGCCCTCAAACCGCCGTTGGCTAGAACGGTCTGAGTTCCGATGATGACCTGCCAACCAGATCGTCCAACAAGTTAAATTACACCGCCTGATCAAACCCTTAACATAGAGTGAGTCTTCTGTGAAGATAACTACCTTATTGACCCGAGACATGACAGCGAATATTGCAGCGTCAGCAATCACCGTTGTTTCAATGCCAGCTTTGGATAGGTTGGTGGCCATTTCATGTCCCTGTTGAAAAATGTAGGTTTTTTTCTTGAACGCCCTTTTAGGTAAACCATTGCTTTTCAAGCTCTTTTCGATGTGCTTCATATACCTGACAGAAGGGGGCACACTCTGCAACGATGACGTGAAACTTGCGTTTCCGTGCAGCGTCCCTCAGGAAAGCCTCCACTGTGCGGGAGCGCCCGATCGTCATGATGACCTCGTTGGAGTGGATGTGCTCCAGGGCCTGCATGGAGATGTTGTCTGTTGTTCCTTCTGCAAAAGGAAACAGCAAAAAAAAAACAAAAAAAGCTCTTTAAACTTACTGACAAAATATATTTTCTCCAGTTTCCTTGTTTTTTCTGTTTTCTAGTATTTAGCAAATAGAAATAAGTTTGGCAATTCTAACTGACCACAAACAAAACAAGTTTAGTCTGATTTAACTTCAGACAGTGAAATATTTTATGAAAATATCTGGTTTCAACTGTAAACAACGCTTTCAAATGGCAGGTTTGTAATCAAATGTTACATTGCACTTTATTACAAAAGACTGAATATCTAGCACTTTCAAGAACCTGATACAGAAATCAAGCATTTTCCAAATCCTGAAAACACCAAACTGAAATTGAAGCATTTTCAAGGACAAACCCGGACACAAATACAGACCCCTTCACTCTGTTACCACTAAGAAAAACAACTGTATAAATACAGGTGTTCTGTGAAGGTCTTGGAGATTTTTAAAGAACATCAGTAAGTAACCAGCACTGTGGGGAGTTCAGCTCTGTAAAACCAGCACCACCATCTTACCCAGCTCAGTGAGAAGCTCATTGATGGCCTCAATGACATTTGCTTTGAGGGGAGCAAAATGCTGCCTGAAGTTCTCCTCGCTGAGTCCTCCAGAGGTCAGCAGCTTGTGGAGGGACTCCTGCTGGTCTGCCTCTTCGCTGCTTCCTCGAGACCTGAGGAGAAAATCTCAACAGTTTGACATCAGGTCGTTTTTACTAACAGCTTTTTTTTTTGTCAAGCATATTTCAAAGGTGAATCTTTTTGCTAAAGTAGCATGTGGACTCTGATTCAAACACTTTCATTCTGCAGAATGAACATTGAGGAGCAGTGCATCCATAAAAGTAAACACAAAGACAAAGTAGAGGTATATCAACATGAGGTAAGTGCATACTTAGCCATGCAAAAATTGCATTATTATATTGTTAAAAATATCTAATAAAAAAAATAAAGCGTTGAGACTAACGTGGAAAGTCATCTTGTGATTCAGAATTTTCAACAACTGCATTCATCGAAGTCTCCTAGGCTTTATCCAACACTGCTTCAGTTATTTGCATGACCAGGTTTCAACCCACCATCAGCTCCCAAGGCTGCCAAAGAAGCCCCAATAATTACCCCTCCACCACACTGATCAACAGCTACCCCTCTTCATCTTTGTCTCATCTGTCCAAAGGAAATTATTCCAGAAATAGTGGCTGCTTTCGATCCAATCTTGTTGCCATTTTCTCTTTAGAAAGAAGATACTTTCTCCTGGTAAGTTCTATTCATTAGTTATAGCTTTTTTTGAATTATTGTCTTAATATTTATACAACATGGTATGAAATGCAGGTATTGGGGGTTTTGCTAATTCCCTAAGCACTACATTGTCTGATGGTTATTAACATGTTTTTTCTCTTTCATCCAACTTAAGCAGCGAGTGGTACTTAGTTTGTCCACAAGTTTGACTTTGACAAAAGATTCACCATATTTGATATTTAGCCAAATTGAGGCTTTGACAAAATATCTGGAAAATCTAGTAGAACCTGATGAACACATGATCATATGTTCTGATTCCTAAAATCTTAGAATGGAGGGTTTATTTATCTTTTATCATTGCTGTACATGGAAAAAAATGCATTTCACAGTGACGCTATAAGTAGGAATATGTGATGTGCTACAACTGGCACTGTTATACTTCATGTTGTCTTTTTTGTCTTTCGCTCCCAGTGCATGGGATTAGGAACATATCTGACTCTGTCCTCACCTGGCATACTCCTCTCTGATGATCTTCAGGACCCTCCTGATCATGTTACCCACTGTGGTCTCTGACGGCTGGGCAGCTGTCATTCTCCTCCCTTCTTTCCGTATTATTTCCATCAGATCACCTGAAGGCAGCAATCAACAAAAAAAAAAACGTTTTAATACAAGTAGAAGTTGCTGCTATATTGTTGCGTTAATTACACCTCCACCCTAAATTACCCCATTTGTATTTTGTTGTTATAACGCTGTAAAGTAATGATTACTATTTAGTTATTTATAACAAAAATATTAGCAAACGTACACACATAAGAAACCATGATGCAACTCCCCCTATTTCAATGATTTCGCAGATGTTCCAACAGATGTCTGACATGTTCGCAGATTATAACAAACTTCACACACAGCAACAATAGAACCAGTTTCTGATTTAGTCCTCCGCATTATTCTTATCAGAGGTCGTCCAAAGAAAATCAAGTGAGAAGAAGGACCTGCGCTGCTCCACCGAGCCTGAGCCGTAATCTTGCGGAGCAGTGCGGTCGTTTCTCGGGCAGTCTCCGCCGAGCCCCGCAGAGGTCCCGCCCCGCTGCCGCCGCGCTTCAGGTCGGACAGGAAGGCTTCAACCCGCTCGGTCAGGTCGGTTTCTTTGTCGGGGCCCGGCATTTTTGTTTTCCAAAATCAACGAACCGCTAAAAAAAGAAGAAAAAGAAGACGACTGTAAGTGTCTGCTGTTAAATGTTGACCAGGAAGTACTTGTAAAGAACATCCGGTGTTGTAGCAGAAAAAGCACCCCGTCTGTCTCCCTTTATTACAGCGCTTGTTTTCACCAACCGACTAAAAGGACAAAGCAGATATTGTTTGTTTCCTTCTATAGCAAGCTATTTTTCACATTCTGCTGCTATAGACCAGTTGAGCAACAGTTTCAAGGGGGCTACACTGGCTGCCATTAAATAACCCGTATGTCCTATTTTAAAGTAAGTACATAAATATATTCTTAATAGTGGTAAAAATCTAAAAGTCTACTGGCAATTTTGTTTCATTTTCACAAATTTATTGGAAATGAAATGTTTAAGCTGCAAATAAGACAGACTGTTCTTTAGACAGCAGGGGGTGCCACTCGGTACAACACCGAGTGGCGAAGGAACTGTTCTTTGAATGAACAGTTCTTTCATTTAAGGAACTGTTGAATGAACAGACCTTTTTCTCGCTTCCGGGTTTGAAAGCGGATGTGGAGTTGGACAACTTCTGGTGGCTATAGCGTTAGCATTAAAAGGCTAGGAAAATGGCTCAGTCTCGGCGCAGTTGTTTTTGTTCAATCCCTGGTTGTTCATGTGGGGCAAGAAAACAGCCTTATCTGTCATATCATGCGTTCTCGACGGACCCGGACCAACGGAGGCAGTGGATCCAGGCGATCCGAAGAGATGAAGGTCCGGACTTTTGCATAAAGTCGGGGAGCATTTTCGTATGTAGCCGCCACTTCACACCTGGAGGATTGTGTTAGCGGATCCACCACCAGCCGCCTTAAAAGTGGAGCTGTTCCTTCCCTGTTTGCCTGGAATAACTTCACTGCACCGGCAATGAGAGAGTCTGCTTTCGAGAGGGCTAAGAAACGGCAGTTTGTCCTCTCGGAAAGCTAGCCAGGCTGAAGATGCTACTGCGGACCATGACTACACGGCACCATCAACCAGCAGGGGCCGGGGCGGTTGTGCGCATGCGCGGGGCCGGGGAGGTTGTGCGCATGCGCGGGGCCCGAGAAGTTGTGCGCATGCGTGGGGCTGGGGCGGTTGTACGCATGCGCGGGGCCCGAGAAGTTGTGCGCATGCGCGGGGTTCACGTTTCCGGTTTTATAAAGCGGATGTGGGGTTGGACAACTTCCGGTGGCTATAGCGTTAGCATTAAAAGGCTAGGAAAATGGCTCAGACTCGGCGCAGTTGTTTTTGTTCAGTCCGTGGTTGTTCATGTGGGGCAAGAAAACAGCCATAGATGTCATATCATGCGTTCCCGACGGACCCGGACCAACGGAGGCAGTGGATCCAGGCGATCCGAAGAGATGAAGGTCCGGACTTTTGCATAAAGACGGGGAGCACTTTCGTATGTAGCCGCCACTTCACACCGGAGGATTTTGTTAGCGGATTAACTTCACTGCACCGGCAATGAGAGAGTCTGCTTTCGAGAGGGCTAAGAAACGGCAGTTTGTCCTCTCAGAAAGCGAGCCAGGCTGAAGATGCTACTGCGGACCATGACTACACGGCACCATCCACCCGCAGGTAAAAGATAGTATATTGTATATAATTTCCATGTAAGAGAATTTCAGTATAACTGTTGCTATATTATTATTATTATTATCACATAATAATGAAATTATGAGATTATGTGGTTATGTATTTTGTGGAGAGATTAAGTCATTGGCTGTATACATACATGCTCCGACTCACACAGGCTGCATCTCCGACAAAGAAATAACGAAGGTCAGTGGAATCCTTCCTCTGCTTGAGCTGGGACATGAAGTGATGGCAGATAAAGGCTTCCTCATTCAAGACCTCCTTCATGAAGTTGGAGCCAAACTCATCATTCCACCATTTAGGCATCCTGGTCAGTTCAGCAAGGAAGAGACAGAGGAGACCAGACCATCGCTCGGCTGCAGATCATTGTAGAGCGAGCAATCGCTAGAGTAAAGTGCAACCACATCTGGGATTCCCTGGTGCCTCTCATTTTAATAGGAACTGTCAATCAAATCTGGCACAACTGTTGTGTTTTGAAAAATTATCAAGGCCCATTTTGTGTTGCAGACTAAATTATTTCTGTATAATTGTTGTAATGCTATGTAAAAAGTTAAATGTCTAGACTTTTGCAAAACATATTCAATTAAAACACACTTTGGCAGCACACTTGGCTTTCTTTTTGTATTAACTTAAATTGCAAGGAAAACAAATCAAGTACAATTTACAATATCTAGTAAAAACAAAAAAAAATCATTACTATTTCATATTTTATAATTGTACACCTGACAAAAAAATACTTAAGACAACCTCAAGGAGAAAATTTTTAAAACATAAGTTTTAAGACAACTGCAGTTAAGAAAACTAATTTTTGTAAATTATCCAACTGCCTTTTAAAGACATTTGCACATCTCTGTATATGTTTCATGAGTATCAACTATTTACAGTGATTCACACAACTTTAGATTGGATATTTGAAATGCAAAAGGGTTAGTTACACATTTTATAATTCTTATTGAATTGACATGAACACATCAATGGTGTTGAAGTAAAATAAGTCCAGTTTAGATTTCATCTGATCAATGAAAGCCTCGTCACGCCACACCCGCCCAACAGTTATTGTTGTTAGCATGTCTAACAAAGTCGCACCATTCCAATCCGCTGACTGCCAGCTGACCCTGTACCTGCCAGTAGTAGGTGTGTAAACACATCAAAACTGAGTGGTCATCCTCTCAGTTTTGAGGACCTCAAGGTCTGCTCACCTGACCTTGAGGTGAGCAACCTGAGATGCATCTTTCTTCATGCTGCTTTTTACCTCAACCAGTCCAAACGGGGGTGCACATCGGGAAAAAGGAGCACGAGAAACTGGAGAAATACCAGGGCCTCAGGGAGGAACTGGAGGGGGCCTGGAAGGTGAAGACCACAGTGGTGCTAGTGGTCATCGGGGCCCTCAGGGCAGTAACCCCCAAACTGGAGCAGTACAGAACATCAGACATCTCAGTCCAGAAATGTGCAGTCCTTGGCACAGCCAAGATACTGCGCAGGACCCTCAAGCTCCCAGGCCTCTGGTAGAGGACCCGAGCTCAGAGGATAAGAACCACCCGCGGTGGGTGAGAAGGGAATTTTTTATATATAATTTTTTTTATCCATATTTTTAACCCTAAATCACTTTCTGAAAATGTAGATTAAACTACAAAATAACTCATGTAAATCCATCCAATATTTTATTGAATAAAAGCCCAACACAAATTTACAAAATTTACCAGTCAACATAAAAATTGACTGCGCTCCATGCGCATGTTCATTGTTAAAAATGCACCAGGACAGCCTGCCTTTCTTGCAAAAAAAAAAAAACATTAATATCTGAAACCACCCATATTCACATGACCCCGGCCTCAAACATTTGAATGAAAATAGGAACACTGGATGGATCTGTTACTGGGAGGTGATGTGCTGTAACTTGGGAGTAGCCAGTTTAAAGCAAAAGGCTGCACGTTTGGATAATTGTTCAATTCTTGTCAGTCACCAACAACTGCGTTTCGACAAGAAAGATTGCATAAATACATTGAAGAGGGGAAAGAGGAATTGCTTGAATGTAAGAATATTGGTTCGAAACTTTTAATGGATGTTCAAAAACAAAAGAACACCTGAACATTCGAAAATTTTAAAAGAATTTATAATTGAGAACATTAATCTGAAAACTCAATTCCCACCCGCCCTGCAAAATAAAAACATACCAGTAGAAGCAACTAGGTGGTAATTACAAAATGAAAACAAACTAAAGACAGTTCAATTTAGCTATCGAGCATATATGTAGTTTAAGTGACAACACAGAAATTCAGTGGTTCCAATTGTCTTAAAGGAACACACCATGTTTAATAAAAAGATATTTAGTTTATGTGGCCTTGTAAATAATGTGTACATTAACAGAAGGGCAGACATTCACTTGTGGCACATCCACTCAAACCAAGCTCAGAAATAAAAAGAAATCAACTTTTCGAAGGGTTGATGGAAAAAGAAATAAATCCATCTTATTCAGTGAGCTGTAACATTCAAAAACAGTGTAGAAAGAAATTCCTCTCCCATGTTCGACAAAGCATTTCTCCCTACAGGGTTTTCATGTCTCCAACTACTAAACAAGCAGGTGAATCTTATTTTCCAGGAAACATGGACACTCTCAGAGCTTTGAAAACTACATGTTGAGCCCCCTAAACTCAGCTTGTTTTGTTGAAGCTAATCCAAGGAGGGTGGATGCTGGGATGTGTTTGCTGACTGGGAGGCAGCGTCCCTCGAGGGAGGCAGCCGGATGAGTCAATCTACTCGATCAGCTTCTTTGCCTTGAAGAAGCGCCGCAGGTAGAAGACCTGCCATGTGGCCAGGCCGATGAGACAACACATGGAGAATATACTGAAGTACAACACGCGTGTGTTTGTAGACTCTGTGGAGAAATTAAAAAAATTTTAGAATTATTGGACAGTAAGAAACTCTTGCTATCCCTGCAATGAATTAGAAACCATCTAGTTTTCAGATTAGGCGTCAAAGAGCAATTGCACAAATATAGACTGTGTTAAACTTAGTTTTATTGTGAAAAATGATTAATTGTATTTCTATTTTTAGCTTAAAGAAAAACTAAGTTTACTTTTTTTAAGAATGTACTCCTCAATCCAATTCATACTTTTGAAAACTTTAGAAAAGCTGTCAGTCAACCTAAAAACAACTAAATCACAAACTGTAATAATGACGTAACTGACTTAGAAAACCAATAGGCTCAATCTGCTAGAAAAGGTCTATGACGAGAAGTTTTAAAAGCTTCCTTCATTAGAAACATTGTTTTTTTTTCACATAATTATTATCCTAAGTTATGAAGAGCCATCAACTTATAGACACCTGTACATAATACGCATGTTCATTTTACAGATGCAATTATGCAAAAGTACGAATTTGTGTAAGGTCTGTATTGGCGTACCATTGGTATCCCGCATTTCCTCTTCTCTCTTCTTCATGTAAGCAAAGTCATTGACGATGGACTCAGACA